GTCCGCGGCGGGCGTGGGCGGCTTGTACCCGTTCGTGGTCGTGTGCTTCGACGGCGACATCACCAACGAGCTGTACAAGACGGACGCCACCACGGGGGGCAAGTCCGCCGTGTGGAACCACGAGCACCAGCTGGACCTCACGGCCAACATCAAGGCGCTGGTCGCCGCGGGCAAGCCGGAGCCCACCTACCTCACCTTCTTCGTGTTCGACACGGGCGCGCCGGGCGTCCCCGCCCTCGGCTCCGCGGGCGTCCTGCTCGAGACCGTCCGCGAAAAGGACAAGGCGCAGGGCGACTTCCCCATCGTCAACGGCTCCGGCTCGCTGCGCATCATCGTCACGGCCGACAAGACCGGGCACGGCCCGTCCAACTGGTCCAAGAAGAAGAAGATCGCCGGCGGCGTCGGGGTCGCCGCCGTGGGCGCGGGCCTGACCGCGCTCGCCGTCAACCACCACAAGAAAAAAAAAAAGAAGGAGGCCGCAGCTAGGGCCGACGGCGACGACGGCGCCGGCGGCGACGACAGCGACAGCGACGACGGCGAGCGCAAGAAGCGCCCGTGGTGGAAGGGCGGCGGCAAGTCGTCCAGCGACTCGGACGACGACCGCAAGGCCGAGGAGGACGCGCCGGCAGAGGGCTACCCGCAGGCCGCCAAGCGCTCCGAGCCCGCACCCGCGCCCGCGCCCGCGACAAGGGAGGCCGAGGAGCACGAGGACAAGGTGTATGACGACGGCGACTACGGGGAGGCCGCGGAGGAGGAGGAGGCCTAGTAGATTGATATTCAATGTAGACGATGCTTTATCGCGATTTGCTTTTGTCCGCCCGCCGCTTGGCGGGGGGGTGGACGGGACGTAAAAAACAGTTTTCGAGGTCTGAGGTGCGGCACGGGGGACAAGGGTACAGTAGTAGTGTACAGTGTGGAGAACGAGAACGAGGGTTGGTTGGACAGCACCTCGCGGTGTCCGGGCGCAGACTGGCCCGGCTGAGAGTGGCCCGGCTGAGAGTGGCCGGCCGAGAGTGGCCCGGCTGGCAGTGGGCCGAGACGCACCCAGACCGCCGCGCCACCTCACTGGTCTTGCGAGTGGTGCCATGTCGGCAACCAGTTATGGCGCACCAATCGCCGAAAATCCTCTCACCGAACAAATGCACTTGTTTTTTGGCAAAAAGCACTCACCTGGGAGATTGCATTACAGAAAGCGGAACGCCAGGTGTACAGTACCGTAGCATGTACGGTTACCGTACGACTGTACCGTGACAGTCACGGCCCAGAAAAGCCTCCTCGTCCTCCCCTTCTCTCCCCCTTCTCTCCCCCTTCTCTCTCCCTCCTCTCTTCTCCGGGTCTCAGCGCTGTTGTAAATTGATAAATAATATGCAACAACCCGCCTTTACCTTGGTACCGTACAACTGTATTCACAAGCAGGGCTTCTCCCTGCTTGTCAATACATCTACCGTACCCTTGTAACATCACTACTATATTCACAAGCAGGGCTTCTCCCTGCTTGTCAATACAACCAATATCACTACACTGTACTGTACAATATTCACACCGGATTCTCCCTGCTTGTCAATAAACCGTTTTGCCATACGTGCCACACCCACCCGACCTACGGCACGTGAGAGAGCGGCATGCACCCTTCAAATGGGGGCGAGCCCATTCGTTTACGGCGGCATGCGACTGTGCGGAATCTGCACGCCTCAGGCCCAGGCCCACCTAGTGCCGTGGGCGCCATGATTGTGCCCTCCTGCCTGTGCCGAGTATTGCAAGTCGTGTGCAAAGTTTGCACCATGCGCATGCATGCATGTGTCCATGTCCCCATGATAACGGTCGTTGCACACGCCCACGCAAAGCTTGCCGCCCACATCGCGCCCGCTACAGCTGGCGGAGATCGTCGCGTTGAACGAAAGCCTAGCTTGCAAAACTGCGACACGGCGGATTCGTCCTTCCTTGAATGCTCTAGTAGGCCACACTGTCAACTGCACGCATCCTCACAACCTGACGACTGCCTTTCGCCTCCTGCCCTCAACCACACATTCTGAGTCGCCTATCGTACATGCGCGCATTCCTGCAGTTTGACACACGTGCGTTCGCTCCGATTGTCGCATGCGGCGCATACACAGAACCTAGGAGCTGCATTTGTTCATTTTGTAGCGCAATTTGGGACAAGCCGTCCGTTGTTCTGACGAAAAGCTTTTGCCTTGGCCAGGAATGGTCCTGGTATACATCTAGTTCGCGCCTTGATTCATCATCTAGGATATGGCAACGTTGGAAGAACCCGCCTAGATCCCATGCGTCTGCTCCTATACAGTAAATGCCAGCAGGCCCAGTCATGACGACAATGGTGTCGCTTCTAGACACTTGTGCCGGGCGTGTTCAACTCTTCTCTCAGCCCTTCTTGTCGCAAGAAAGAGTTGAAAGAACCATATGCACTGCACCCGGGAAGTGCGGCAGCTCTACGGTTGCAGCTCCACGGTTGCAGTTCTACTATTGCATCTCTACGGTTTTCATAAGAATCAAGAGGGAGTGGTGCTCTTGCTGACATATGTCCTGCATACCTCACCAGCAAGTTAACATGGTGTACCTCAGAACAATCGCTCATCCCACTCCCATTTGGCGGCTGTCATCATTTCCGCTTTTCAACAAGTACAAGTCACACCCGCAGTTGAGGTTAACGATAATAGGGCCAACAGCGGTAATGAGAGAGGTTGCAATTGCTGTGTACCTCTACACAGAATTTACTGGCGACGAGTTGTGGTTGCAACAGGTTGTCGGTGTCAATGATGATGTCAACAGGTGTCCTTGCATCGATACTACTTTTGTTGAAAACGCAGAGGGGTTTTGAAGTGTCTTACGGTTCGAATAGATACGGTACCTCTTGTGTTCATTCGGTAGGGCTGCGAGATGGTAGGTTTCTACGTTTCTGTCACTATGATGCAGGGGTGCCCTGTAGATGTTTTTCTGCTGTCGAGCTATGCTTTGGCATGCAGAGATGCTGCACTTCACACACAAGACAAAGATTTTAAATTGGGCTGCTTGTGACGTAAGTAAATGACGATAAGCCCTTGATCGTAGGGAGGCGAAGAATATCGATCGCAAGTACAGTTCCTTCTTGTACGCTATTTTCGTCTTCACGGCACACATTCCGGAAGGGGGAGCCTCGTCGCCAATAAGGTGGAAGAATGGAACACGGCATTGAGAAAGAAGAGCGTTGCAAGAACACGGAATAGGCGTGAGTCTGGACGTGTGGGGAAGGTAATTAGAAACGAAATGCTGCGGCACAGTGCGCGCATGGCGGTGGACGCAACATCGCATGTAGCAATGCGCGTGGCGTGGGGGCTGTGGGGCAAACGACGATTGATCCGGAATCAGAGAATACCTCTGCTAAGTCTTCTTTCTCTTACACCAACGATGGCAGGCAGATCCATTGGACAAAGTGTGTAACGGCAGGAAAGATGCGGGAATCGTGAATTTTGAAAGAAACATAACTTCTCGACACTGGCGGGAAAAGTCTTATTTTCGAGAATTTCTTTGATATCTGCCCCGATGCCACAAACTTTGGGGCCCTACTCTTCTCTTCGGACCAATTTTGCCGCATACAACAGAAATTGGCAAAAGAAAACGGGTCCCACGGGGTGCAACGAAACTCCCGATCACGTCGCATTTGAAGGGAGCATCGAAATTATTTAAAAATAACAAGATGACGTGAGATTTGCTGGGATGCGCCCGCTCGATCAGATGATAAATCAGTGACCACTGACCCATATTTAAAATTGCCGGGCCCAATTTGAAAGTTTAAACTTCTGTGGACCCTTCTTTCCTCGCTTCATTGTACAGTACCCCTTTTGCACATCTTTGCGATAAAAGGCTTCACTCGTGCACTGCTGGGGCCCTGTCACAGAGCGAGTTCACAAAGGTGTGCAGAGTAGACAATTGAGCGAGACAAGGAATGGATCGTATTGAGCCTGTGAGAGCCCGTAACCAGGAGCACACAAACAAATCCTTTTTGAATTTTCAAATAGCTGGCTCTCCCTCCAAAACTGTGTCGCGTACGTCAACACCCTCCTGCTTGAGCGCAGCCGCCACTCACACTTCTCGTTCGCCCTCCCAATAGCCTCTACACTCCTTTACCCCTCCCCCTGTTGTGTCGCCGCTAACTATCCCCCTTTCTTGACCTTTCCCCCTTGAACCGCTGGCAATCCCCTTCATTCCAACCTATCGTGTCAAATCCATTCCGTGACACTACCCGTTCAGAGTCTCCCCTTCCCATCTTCCTTCTTCCTTTCCCAAGTCTCTGTCTCCTCTCACTTGGATAACCACACAACGGGCTGCAAACGCTTCGTCTTCCTAACAAAACTGCCTCTTTCACTCGAAACGACTCCAATTCGTTTCCTTTCTTCCAAACCTCGCCCCTTTAGCGCGACAATGCTAACACGACCAGGGTATTTGGCTTCCACGTTTCGCTTCTGAAGCTACCTAGTCCTCACAGCCCTGCGAATCGCATCGGTTTTTGACTCGGGATAAAGACCCGATTCCTACTGTCACAACTCCACGGCTTCCTCATTTTCGCAAACGAACTCCCGAAAATTCAAACAGTCCAACCAACCCACATCATCACCGCTAACTCTCCCCATCGAGTCCAGGGAGCATGGAAAGGCAATCCAATGCCACCCATCTCGGCATCGATTCCGCAAATGATCGCGACAATCTTCCCACCGAAGATCAGTCCAATACACAACCAGGCTCATCCTTCTCTACCCATACGCTCCAGGTTCCGGTCACCACCGCAGATCTCTCCATGAACGTCCCGAACTTGTCAATGGCGCTGCCTTCCATGTCCATGCCATCTAACCCGTCAAATGCAATGAACTTCAACGCTTTCAACATGGGCTCCAACATGAATGCACCGTTTATGTTCATGCCAGAAGATCTCTACGGCAAGGAGGATTCCCCCATGTTTGGACAACCATCCTCTCAACCACATCGTGACCTCGATCTCATCGTGACCCCTCCTGGCTTTCGTTCTGGAAATCAGCAAGTGCGAGTGCCCCAGCATCCCATTTTACCCCAGTCCTACCCCCATCAGCAAATCCCGCAAAACCTTTATCAGACAAATCTGCAGCAACAGCAACACGACCACGCACTCGCCAGTCAGCAGGCCTTCAACGAGCGCATTCTCGTTATGCGAAGGATGAACGCTCAACAGCAAGAGCGGCTTGCTGCTGTTAGCGGCAACCGACCAGCTCTCATTTTACCGGGACAACAGCTTAATGGCGCTGGATCTTCCAAGCGAAGTCATCTTAGTCGAAAACCACGGCCGCCAAGTGCAAAGGGAAAAGTTGTACAGAAAGTGTCCACGGCCGAGGCAGTGCGCCTCGTAGCGCAGATGGACCGTCCCCCGACCCGTCGATCTTCAAAAGGTGGCTGGACCAGAGACGAAGATGACATGCTGCGTGTCGTTGTCATGGAACATAATGAGAAGAATTGGAAGAATATTGCCAAGGCACTCAACTGTTCTTTTCCGGGTAGCAACAGAAACGATGTGCAGTGTTTGCATCGATGGCAGAAGGTACTTCAACCTGGTCTCAAAAAGGGGCCATGGACTCAGCATGAGGATAGCACTATCACGCGACTCGTTGAAGAGTTAGGCGCGAACAAGTGGAGCTTGATTGCAAAACAATTGCAGGGGCGAATAGGCAAGCAATGTCGTGAACGGTGGTTTAATCACTTAAACCCAGCGATCAACAAGGACCCCTGGACTGAAGAAGAGGAGCAGATCCTCAAGGAAGCACATTCTCGCATTGGAAATAAATGGGCCTTGATCGCCAAGTATCTCCCAGGCAGAACTGACAATGCTATCAAGAATCATTACAATGCCACGCAGCGGAGAGCAGCGACCAAGAAGCAAGGCAAAAAGGCGAAGGGAAGAGCCAATCACTCGACGAATGGTGAGAACAACCGCGCGGCCGGCAATCAAGGGTTCAGGAAGCTTGCTTCGGTAGGGCATAGTGTCGCGAAAGCAGCCAAGGCAGAAAAACTTGCCCCACGCCCAACTTTTGTGGTTCAGTCGGGCTTCAATATTGCGTGTCCTGACCCTTTCTCGAAACTAGATAATAGACTTGTCGTTCAAAACCGCACCCACACGGACCAGCCTAACAAATCAATGGATTCATCGGCCTTGCCGAGTTGCAGCGAAAGTTCCCCTCCTTCCAACCATGTCTTTACCGATATCACAAATACTCCGAAGAAGGCCAGTGGTCACACCTCAGCCTCTCGAAAAAGACCATCATCAACATCACTTAAGTCCCCGGTTGCAGGTAAGAAGTCGAAGAGCGGCAACGAAGAAGGGACACATGTACAGTATGAGGAAGCTGGTAATGTATCGAAGGTGATTTCTGCTGTGCCTACAGAGCCAGAAAAGGCACGGCAAGACGAAGAAGGGGCTCACGTCCATACGGCCTTGACTTCGGCTACGAGCCAAGCTAATACTGCAAACGATCATAACAATGTGAAGAAACGAGACTACAGCTCATCCAATGCCATCGCGAATCATAACTCCCACGCGGACGGGATTAGAACGGGTAATCTGCGCCTCTCAGAAGCACCGAAGGACGAAACATTGGATTTCAAGCTGCAGACACCAAAAGCAAGAAATGTCATCCCTGGAAAAGAAGGTAGCAAACCAGACAACGCTGGAAACTACGATAGCCCGACCAAGAAGCACTCAATAGCAGCGAGTGTTGATTCGAAAGCCGAAACTCAAGAAAGCGGCCTAAAAGCCGTTGCGGAGGGGTCAGAGCATGGCCTCGCGAATGATATTGAGAGCAGGATGAAGTCACCTGCTCCGAAAAGCACGCGTTCCGCTCTGCCCTTCTCCACTCCACCTAGAGATTCTTTCTTCTCTGCTCTCCGTGAACCTTTGTCTCATACGATGGAGAGCCCATCGGGTGGATCCATGCTCCGACGATTAGGTGTGGACCAGGGATTGCTGGGCATTACCCCAATGGGCAAATCCCCGGGATCGCTGTTCTTCGCGTCTTCTCCTAATTCAGTTCCCAGAGCTTTGATGTCAGGGAGTAGTCGACCAGGTGGACTGTTTACACCAGGCGGATTATTCGGGACAACACCTCAGAACCGCACTCGAGGTCTCGGCGGGACGCTTCCATCACCGTTTGAGTCCAACTTGAGCAGCGCATTTGCTGCCGCGGGAAACACCCCTGTACCGGTTCGAAGCACACCACCAAGAGTCTCAACCGGGAACAGAGATGTGCTTCCTTCTTTCTTTTCATCGCCGCCAACAGCAGCGAGGGCAAGACGAGGCTTTGCATCAGCCGACAGAGGAGATCCTCCGGATTTCCGCGACAGCAGTATTGTCAAGAGACTTGGAGACTCTGAGTTCAAGATTCGAGGCCTAGCGCTGACACCTATTCAAAACGATTTTCACCGCAACCACGAGGAATTTGTTGGACCAGTAATTACTCCCCTGAAGTCGCCTGCGACCCCAAGAGAACTTTGGGCTACTCCACAACAACCTCCTTTTGGGAGCACGAGTGCGCAACGTGAAGGAAGCATTGGAAGGCTTGGGACCCACACTAGGGACATTGTCAATTCTATTGATTTGTTTTTGGGGCCAACCCCAGATTCAGCCCGGAGATAGGAATAGGATGGGAATAGAGCTTAGAAAACACTTGTGTATAAATTGACCGAGGATATAGCGGCCTTGATAAGCAATCTGGAAAACGCCCTAGCGTCTTGGACAACATGGAGACGGTGCAGTCGGGCTACATGTAGTTTATCTCTCCTATCTTGCGAGAGTTAGTTCCTTTACAACTGATAAATAATTCTTTTGACGAATAAACCTCAAAACACCCGCTCACCAGTACCCAGAGCATTGTAAGCCACGGTACCAAAGAGGTAAAAGAAAATTGCAATCCCAAAAACAAGCGACCAAGAACCGGTCGTGTCCAGGATGTAGCCTGTAAGTGCGACGCCAACAATGCCAGGGATAGCAGCGCCGGTGTTGCTGCAGTGCGCGTTCGTCGCCACGGACAGTGGAAAGGATTGTAGACTTCGTCAGAGGCCGATTGCCACAAAGCGGACTTGTGGTGAGGAAAGAGCGAATGGGAATGACTCACCTAATGCCAAGCAATATTCCTGAAAAGGCCGGGCCGATATCTTGGTGGTTGGCATACACGCCACTTTGAGAAAAGGAGCCAAGAGCCAGGGCGGTCGTCATATATGTTACTGCCATTGCAGGATCAGTTGTGGTCGAGACAAGGGCGAGGAAAGCAGCCGGACCAAGAAAACCGATGGATTGCATTGTCTTTCTGACAGTAGTAATTGATATGTTACGAGCACGCATCGCATCTGCAATGAAACCACCGGCGTTTGCAGAAACGAACATTGCTAACCACGGCATGACCGACAAGAAAGAAGAAGCCGCAAGGTCAAATCCTAGTTGCTGATTGAAGTATGTTGGAAGCCAGATGAGAAGCACAAAATAACCTAAGAGAGGCACACCAAGTCCAAATCCATCGAAAACGTCCAGGAACGAGGAATCATGGGAAGAGGTTAGAGGTTAGAGGTGCCTTGAATAATGAAACAATTTCGAGAATGTACATGCACGGGTGCACAAACGGTCTCATTGTAGCTCCCTCGCGATGAAAAGAACGCATTGGAAAACGAACCCCATGTGGCACAGAAGTGGGCGATTATAATTCCCCATGTTGCCTTCTTGCTAAACAGTAATTTCCATGGTACCGAAGTTGGCAGGCTTGACTTGTTAGCAGCGCCTGCCCGCATTTTTGAGTTGATATAAGCTCTCTCTTTTTCTGACATCGTGGTTGAAAGCTCCGGTGTTGACTTTGTCCAAAACTGCCATGCTGCCCACCAGAAGAAACCCAGGGCCCCGAAGAAGTAGAAAACACTTTGCCATCCAAAAGAAACGATAAACGCAGGGCACAGCAACAAGCCAACAACGGATCCCAGGTACATTCCGCTGTAAGTTAGGGAGAGAGACCTCGAACGTTCCGTTTCCGGAACCCACTTAGATATCATGTTGTTCATAGCCGGCATGGCTACTCCCTCTCCAACTCCAAGAAGCGCTCGAGCTAAAAGCAAAACTCCAAGGTTGGTCGACGCGGCGAGAGGAGTTAGAATTGTCATGGCGGACCACACGACCACACCAGCTGCTAGAACTTGTTTTCCGCCATACTTGTCCGCAAGATAACCGCCAGGAATCTGAGTAAGAACGTAGCCCCAGAAGAAGGCTGACTGAATAACACCAACCGTTGTTTGTGACCAGCCGTAGTATTTGGCCATTGGCAAAATCGCAACAGAGATGTTGATCCTATCGCAGTTGCATATAATAAAGGATACAAAACATAGAAAGACGACTCGAAATCGCTCTGGCCAAATCTTTGGCTGGAGCGCCCGGGACAACCACCCCGCAACGCCTGATTCTGCCGAGGACAATTGAGAATCAAAGTCAGGAGGAGTATCATGAATCCTTGCGGTCCAGTTAGGCTTGTTTACTGCACTACAGCGGCGAGGTGGGCGTCTGATGGGCACCAGAATTCGCTTGGAGGAGAGGTGCGGAAACCTTGAACGTTGCAGTGGTAGGAATGGTACAGGAGTGCTTAGAAAAGCAATTTTCGAGGAATGCGGCGATGAAGGGAGTCGGTGGGTGTTCATTGTCGACTGGAGCCGTTAGAAAAGCCAACAGCATGCGATGGTGATGGGTCAGTGAAGCTGAAAATGTGTCGACCCTGTTGCTAACGTGATCGCTGGCTCGGTTATGGCGTCATGAGGCTTGGTTCGGTAAGAGATAGAGGTGCCCGGCTTGGAAGAAGGCTCCAAATCGCGGAATTTGCGATTACAGAAAAAATTTTGAGCTCACTCTCTCCATCTTCAGAACTCAGTATGATACAGTAGATCTTCGTGCATGCCCTCCTCATGCTTAGAGCCCAATGATGTCAAGGCTGGGATGAAGATCTCTCTCGCCTTTGACACACCGCATTTGCGTGACCAAAACGTTCCTCATTGATTCCACCTGCTCGCCCACTCCAGCTCTTCTTCCTCCGGCTTATTGCCGCATTCACGCCAAACTCGACTTAAAACGACAATGCCGCCGCAAGTGATATGCTGCGGTCTCAGCTGCGTGGACATGCAACTTCACGAGTGCGACGTGCCGCAGACGCTTGAATCCATCGTGCGCTTTGGCAAAACCACGTTTGCAGCGGGTGGCTCCGCGCCCCAAACAGCGCGCGCCCTCGCCGCCCTATCTGTCCAAACAAGCGCCCTGACCGTAATCGGCACAGACCCCCACGGCGACACACTTCGCAATTTGCTCATCTCCAGCGGCGTCGATGTGTCTACGCTTATCCGCGACGCCAGTAGCGGCACCGCTCTCGCGGTCCTTCCGCTCTTCTCCGATGGCACACGCGGCTGCTTTGTCACCCTCGGGGCAAACGTTTCCGCTACAGTCGATTCTCTGCTGTCTCGTTCCGTTGTTGCTGAGGCTTTTACGTCCAAGTTGCGCGTTTTTCACTTCGGATATCCTCATTTAATGCCGAATTTGAGAGGCACCAATTTGCGAAGGCTTTTCGAGCATGTTAGGGAAGTTGCACCGAACGCTCTTTTGACTCTGGATGTCAACGGCGCGGATGAACAGGAGACGCCTGAGAACCCCATCTTGCTCCCAGCCTTGGAGCTGGTCGCAGCAGTGCATGCAAACCTAGAGGAAGCGTGCACAATATCCGGGCTCGCGTCCCCCACAACAGCAGCAAGCCTGTCCGCCAAGGACATCGAGCCCATTGTTAGGTGGTTTACAAACCATGGTGCCGAGATAGCATGCATTACGTGCGGAAAGGATGGCATGTTCGCGGCGACGGGCGGCTCAGAGACCGACCCTGACAATATAGAAAAGCAACATCTTTCACCCGTGCTTGAGCGCGGGGCTTTTATTTATAGATCCGCTCTGGATGTAACCGTCGCGACTAAGGTGAATGCGAGTGGAGCAGGTGATGCGTTTATTGGAGGAGTTATCGCCGAGCTGGTGGACACCAGAGGCAGCCGTGGTATACGTCGAGTCGCCGATGCGGGCCTGGTTGGGGCGCTGTATTGCATCGATTCCTCCTTTGCCAAAGCGAACCCAAGTCCGACCATCGCGAGTCTGCTAGAGAAGGCAGATGGATTGTCGCGGATACCTCCAAGGGCTGGCTTGCGTCCGCCGGGTGCAGACTGAAAGCAATCCCTTTGGAAACTCGCTGCAGCTTGGATGCCCGTAGTTTCGAGCGTGGAAATATTTTAACAACACATACTTTGAACCTTACGCGACTTGGAATAGACGCACGTAGACACAACCTCAATCTAAACGTGCAATACAAAACGCGCGTATCGAGTCGAGAGTGGCGCAGGGCGGCTAGTCTGTCAGTTAGATGTGGATAGATTGATGGTGACGCCAGCCCGGATCTGACCCCATCCAATCAACCGCCAATGCTTGTCGATTCTCCGCGACAACGCAATCTTCTCACCCACAGACGTGCACACAGGACTCGAAAGCGTAAACTTGGCGAGATCTCGCTTCACGGCAATCACCCTACCACCCGTACTTGTGCTACCAATATTCATCATGAGTGTCTCGCCCTTGTCAAGTCGAGACACTTTTGCTTGTTTACTATCACCCTCGGTCTTCATTCCCAACAGTCTTCGCAAGAGGAAAAAGTTAACCTCGAGGTCACAGTAGACGTCTGGCAGGTGTCCCTTCGCGCCAAGCACATGACCGACGAGCCGATCCGCGCGGGTCAAAGTTGGGTCGATCTTGGTTCCCACACCGATCAAACCGCCAGGGACGGCGTATTGGAGATCGTTTTGCTCGGCGTGCATAGATCGGATAACGCTAACAATGGGTTTGCAAGCAATCTTGCCGCTTGAATCGCGGAAGCTAATCCCTGGCCGAACTTCAATGGCATCGCCGACACGCAGCACGCCCTGCATGATAGACCCACCCGCAACGCCGCCCTTGAGATCATCGACTTCCTCACCTGGCTTGTTGACGTCAAAACTGCGGATGACAATCATGCGTGGGGAGCTGACAAAGTCGCGCTGCGGCACCGGCACCTTCTTGATGAGGTACTCGACAACGACATCGATGTTGTATTTGAGCTGAGCGGATATGGGGATAATGGGGGAATCTTCTGCCACCGTTCCAGTTGTAAACTCGCGGATCTGCTCATACTGCGCTTCGGCATCGGTCTCTTTGACGAGATCGATCTTGTTTTGCAAAATGATGATGTGACGCAGTTTCATGATCTCAACCGCGGCAAGATGCTCACTCGTCTGGGGCTGTGGGCAAGGCTCATTCCCAGCAATCAAGAGCAAAGCGGCGTCCATGACAGCCGCGCCATTAAGCATCGTGGCCATCAAAATATCATGTCCCGGGCAATCAACAAACGAAACGTGTCTCATGAGGGCCATGTTCCCCATGCAGCCCGGGACCTCGCACGCTGGGGTATCCTCCTTGGAGGATCCATATGCACGGTAGCACGAAGGACGCGGACAGGCCTCGTCGCTGCACTTGTAGAGCTTAGCATTTGCGTAACCCAGCTTGATGGTGATGTTACGCTCGTGCTCTGTTTTGAAGCGGACGGTCTGGACGCCAGAAATTGCTTTGACGACGGTAGATTTGCCGTGAGCGACATGGCCGATCGTGCCGATATTGATGGTGGCCTGGCGAGAGATGACCTGAGGGGAGAGGGGGGTGAGGCTCGCAACGTCGAGGGTGGAGAGATCTTGGACTGCCAGCCCGCGCGTGTCAGCGGACATGGTGGCAAAGGGGAAGAGAAGGCGCGGGGAGGTGAGGCGTGCTGGCAAAAGCTGCGGATCAAGAAGGCCAAGCGTGGTGTGTTTGAACAACGGGGCCGCCGTGCACAGTGGAGGGGAGTGAAGCGTAAAGGGCGATCCCCGACGGCGTCCCCCGTCAACCACCCTAGGTAGCCGTGGTAGCCGTCCATTGTTGCGCAAAATGTTTGAAAAGTAATATTTTTGGGAGTTGTTCTGTATGAAGTGTAAGATCACTGTAAACTGGAACTCATACGCACTAATGTCTATAGTATTGGACCTTTGTCCTCACATGAGGACACTATTCGACCAATTTTATTCTTGACTTGCGCTTCCTTGACAAGAAAGAAAAAGATACCCCCGCCCCCGTACTTGACTCCTGACTTGGGGACAGAAAGAACTTTGTGAGAATCCTTGGCGTTTTAAGATATGTCTGGAAAAGAAGCCTTTTTAGACAGCCTTAAAACCGCATGTAAAATAACTTCGAAACCAAAAACGCCTGTTTAAAAGAGAAACCATGCACTCAATCTGCATTACATTCATAACCTTTCTGGATATTCAAAGCTGCCATCTCGATGTCCTGCAAGATGTTATTGCCGAAAACGAGCACGTTAAGGAAATGGTGACCAATATAGATTTTTAAATGTTCAATTTAATTTATATAATTTTGCAAAAAAGAGCTGTCCCATATGAGAACAAGCCCTGTTCGGATAGAAACCAGCTAGGCCGTGACTGTAACCCCATGCCCGCTGTGCCAGACCGCACACACGCAGTACACGTGGAACAAACACCTAGATAATAACAGGACGCCGTCGTCGTAGCCTGAGGTAAAGGAGTCCTGAGGTGGACATCACACACGCTGCGTCCACTTTTTGGATCACGCACGACCAATGTACACTTGCGTACAGTTTTGTACACTCGTGTCCAGTACAGTACAGTAGTGGCAAAACATATCACATGTTGGGGTCTTTACTGTCCAGCTTGAGGTGATTGTTTCTACAGTGAACCCTCTCGATATGGATACGCTCGGTGGACGTAATCCGTATCCATTTGCGGAGGATATTCACATCCGGAGACCGTATCATAACGGTGTCACGGTGCATCTCTCAGAATGTCTGTGCTTTACTTAAAAAATGTATCTAAATGTATTGAATGCGCTCTGCTTGCGTAGTTATAAGATGACCTGTGATGTTTACCCTATTTGCAAATTGGGCAGAGACCCAAGTTGCGACTGCGCGTTCGAGATATGGGCTGGTAACTGACACGGAGCGCTTGAACTTTTTTGTAGAGATATCGGGACGAAAACCATACTTTCCGTTGATGATGCGGGACATGACAGCTTGAGCAGGAGGTTTAGAAAGGGAAAACTGTACTGAGGCCCACCTCGCAAGGGCGCTTTGTGACGTCTGCTCCTTGCTCTTTTTGCGCCGTTGGAACTCTGCACATATTTGTTGCTTTTGGGCGAGGTTAAGCTCAGAGCGCTTCATCGACGATTGCCGCTTGACGGGGGCAGATGGCTACGGTGCTGACAACACGCAATGTTTGCGATCAGAGGAGATTTATTGGGGGAGGACCAACAGGAGTATATGCTAGAAAGATGTTTTTGTCGAGAATGATGATAATTGCGAAGCCTCAGACGGGGATTGGAATTTATTGAACAGATTGTGAACGGATTGATCAAGAATGAACGGTTATGGGGTAATTTGTGCCTTGGCCGCTTAAAAGTAACCATAAAATACGTTTTAAGTAGGAGGGGTCTGTATGATATGCTTATTTCACATTGAACCCGATATCCAATTGAGGAATATTCCACAGACATTGTTTTTTGGTAAAAATTTGTAGCTACGGAGTCCGTCGCCCGACTTTTTATCCGTTTACAGAGGATATCCATATCCCTAATGCTCTATATGGCCATTAAAATGGCCATAATAAAAACTATAGATTTTTGATTTTACGGGCTTATGTCCACTTCACTGTGCATAAGACCCGAAAATTGGGAGGTAATCGGCAGCGCCTTACTCGGTTTCCGCCCTATCGAGACTTATTCTGTAAGCTTGGACGTATTCTGCTTGCTTTTTTCTGCACGCTCGATTTTCAAGATCTCAAAACCGTTGAGTATTTCGCCTCAAGCACCGGCAACCTCCCCGTGTCCCCCAGCATGGCCACCGTGATATCGTCGGGTCTTCCCTCTGGCTCTCCCGAGCCCAATGCGACAAATGAACCAAGTATTGAGCAGCAAAACCATTCTGGGAATGGTGCCATCCCACCTGCAGGGATCGATAGAGCCACAGGAGATTTCACAGGCAATTTTGCTGCCCATAGCGGCCGAGCGGTTCCAACGCCCTCCCGGGGACGCCCTAGAGGTCGCAGTGGACGTCGTGGCCGAGGATGCGCTCGCCGGAGGACGTCAGAACGCCACACGCATGTCGCTGATCCTACAACAGGGTGGACGGTAGCGTCAGATACATGCCTACAGTACCTCTGCCAGTTTCAAATCTATCGACAGCTACCGTAACGGCCTGAACAAGGTTCAGGCAACTGCTGATTTTATTTTTGATGTCGCACAAGAACTTCTAAGTTATGCAGACACATTACATGTTGTACCTACTGAGGATTCCGTTCCGGAGGAATTAGATGCTCAAAGTGACGAAGCTAAAAGAATTATTATGATGGCTGTGACACGGAAAAGGAATCGTATTACCTTCTTCAATTCTACAGATGGCAAACTACTTCGTCTTCACATAAGAGGTCATTCACCGAGACAAGGACGCTTTATTAAGCGCTGTACGCTCTGTGGACAGCAAACCACAGCTTGGCGTGGTCACCGTACATCGTTTCAATGTTCTCTTTGCTCCGTACCCCTATGTGTGCGGGTCTATCCTGGACTGCGCAAAAGTTGTTATGATCTCTGGCATTCTAGTCATATCTTGCGTTTAAGAACTACACCTCAGCCAGCATCTCGAGGCACTCACACTAACGGTACTGGAAATCACGATAATGAGGAATTACCGAACCAGGAAGGCGCAGGCAGTGAGTCTGAGGTAACATCGGGTAATAGGCGTCGTAGGAGCATGCGACAAGGAACAGCCGAACAGCCGTCGTGCAGACAGCGCCTCCAGTAGACTCAGGGGATAGTTCGTAGACTGCTATTGATAAATTTGGAGCACGATGTACACGTCTTTATGTCCAGTATAGTGGACATAATCAAATTTTGCATGTTCAAACCGGTTGTTATTGACAAACTGTGGAGCCAAGTACAGTTCCAACAGGTGAAAAACATTCCCTCACATGCTTCACCGTGTCTAGAGGAAGCTTTATCCTTGCTGTATATCTGGTTTTTATTGGCGAAACCCACATACTTCAGAACTAGCAGGACATTGAAATTTATGTCCACTATACTGGCCATATGAGATGGCATTAGGGATATGGAGAATGATCCTTATCGGGAGGGTTCACTGTACTTCCAGAGGACTGCTGTTGCGGCTAGTCCAAGCCGCTACCTCACCGAACGAGAGCCTGCGAAATCCGGGTGGTTGCCCTTGAGTTTACAGCTAGTTTCTGTCTTGCTTCCTCGATGCCCCTCTCTCTACACGCCGCTTCTATCGCTTCTATCTTATGCTCTTGATAAATTGGGCGCGAGGTTCTACTGGGCCACTGCCGCGAAGCGGGAGGCCCGGGAAGCTGCCAGTCGAGACTCCTACCGTTTGAGCGCCCACTTTCGGCGTCCTCCTCCCCCGGTTAGCGCTACCCAGCTGCTCGTTGGCGTCTTCGACGTTCTTCTCGTGCCTCTGGCGACCTCCCTTCCCCTGTGCGCACCGCTTCTTTCCCTTGAAGTGTCCTCCGGGTCCGCCCGCCCCACGACCCCGACACCCGCTACGCGGTGTTCCTGTCTCGAGGGGCCTCCTGCTGCCCGCCTCCAACGTCCATAGCGCACCGCAAGTTCCTGCTGAGTCTCCCCGAACGTCCCTGATCCCCTGTCATTACCGCCAAGCGGGTTCCCCGCTTCCCACTGTCGGCCTTCACCGAGCATCTAATCTGTGCACGCACAGTTTGGATGATCCCATTCTGGGATATGGGCGCAGGTTCGCGCCCTTTCCACGTGTGGCGTAGAAACCTGACATCCGACGGGCAACATCCGTCCCTTTTCCTATGTCTCTGTCCGTTTTGTTGGAGTTGGTTGGAAGCGGTGAGAAGATCTCGCTTGGAATTTCTCTGGCTCGGCCGTGGGCTGCTGTTCACATCCAGCTTCAGTAATCCGACTGACTCCTTCTGGTGTCCTCAGTCTCATGCCACTCTTTCGTGCGTCGTAGAGGTTGCCAATTGCCTCAGGAAGTGCCTCTTCTGGCGTTCATCTTGGCGAAGCGCGACCACGAATCTGGACTTTGAACCATCGCTCGTGAGTACCCGTCCTTGGGCCAGGCCTCTTTCTGACTGCGGTTATCCTCTGCAGTAGCCGGAGCCCGTCTGGGAAGACACCTTCCCTCGGATCAGCTTTCTGGACTGCCTCCTTTGATATGCGCCTGATGCGGTTCGGGTGCACCCGCGCGCTTACCTCTCCGAATTCTGACCGGAGACTGTACCTCACTTTGGACAACTCCCGCTCCACAACGTAGGGTCCCAGCTATGAGGGAACTATCTTGTTTCCTTCCTTGCTGACGAGGTCAGGAGCCCATACCATAACAAGATCCCCGGGCTGCAGGCCCGAGTCCTCCACATGCCGGTTGTACTGCGTTGCCGCGTTCCGACGTGCCTTCATGCCTTGAGTCAAAAGCCTCGTGTGGAGCTCCTTGAGGTGCTTCGAGGTGCTATAGGGGTCCCCCATCACCCGGTCCGCCTCCACTTCTCCCCAGGCCACAAACGCCTCTATCCCGAACATAGCCTCAAACGGCGATATTTGAGTCGCCTCGTGGACTCCAGTGTTGTATCGTAGGCATGCCAGTGATACGTGGAGGTCCCAGTCGTCCTGGCTAGTGCACACAAAGCAC